ACTGTTCTGATTCGAGGAAGAAAAGGCTTCACATTTATGTCAATACAAAAGTTCAGATTTGAAAATGATATATACTGTACTTACGAACATTAATGGGTATGTCCCAACCCTCATAAATACGTTGAAAACTATTGTAAGTAGGGGCAATATGCCGTCTAAGTAGTCCACCACTAGCAGTTGTTTACTTATTTCACGTCGCTGGCGAGTATTGTATTTTGTTGATGTTAGCTTACCATTTCATTTCCATTTTGATTATTCCTCATTCAATAACCCTTCCTATGGGTCCAAATTCGAGGAAGTCTAGATTATGCTAGATTTGCGGATTTGGGGAGTTCTATCGTATATCGGTATTAAAAGAACTGTTTTGATTCGAGGAAGAAAAGGCTGCTATGGCAAGTTTAAAATTTTTAAGTTTTCGAGTTTAGGATACAAAAGTAGTTTGTAATATTGATTCGTTTTTATTTAAAGTGTGCATTGAATACATAAATGTACAAAAAATAATTGATAACCAATAGTAAAGAAAAATTGTGCTAATTGTAATTTGTGAAAAACTAAGACACTTTATGAAATGTTTAAAAATTAATGAAATATCTTATTCAAAAACAATTAGTCTGTAAAGGAAGTAAAAAAATAAGGATCTATAGTACAACTCCTCTAAGCTGATGTTTGGTATTGTTTCGATTCGTGGAAGAAAAGGCTACATATTTATTCGAGGAAGTCTAGATTATGTTAGGATTTGGTACTGTGTATACAACTTGAAAATGTTACACTATTGTCCTCATATTTGTCGCCATATGTATTACTACGCTTCGGTTGGAATGTCGCTCACTGGGGTAAATTATTCTAGTACCATCAGTTATCAGTTAATTCCCCTCTCCACTGCCTTAACCGGGTATTGAACTCACACTCTTCACTGGATCTAACCAACGACTTTTATGCACTGTGCCACGTGTCCTTGAGGACATCTATGTATGAATTTCTGGGTATTATAAACCTAATGTCTTCAGCAACCATTTTTTTTTACCAGTGCTCATATTGCAATTTTTGCTGTTATCATTGAATTTTTTACCAGAGCTCATATTGCAATTTTTGTTGTTATTATCACTATTCTCTGGCATTATTTGGTGATATAAATGTTAAAATTTCATCATAAGACTACTTTTATTTCTTTATTCATTTTCTATAAGTATTCAATTTTGCGTAATTTACAGACCCTTTCCCACGTTATTCAGATAATCGAGCAAGTATTATAGATATCTACGTTATACACACAGACGCTCGAGAATATATAGAATATTCTTATCGTGGTGAAGGTGATTCCTTGTTTTGGACGTCTGCTGGAACTCAGGCTCATGCCAAACATCGAGTGGGGTTTATATATATGTTCCATCGTTAAAGCTGCTGGAAAAGATGATCGGTTGCGTGTACCGCTTTAGATAGAACCATATTCCTTCTTCCATGTTTTAACTTTACAAGAGTCGGATCCATCCAATGATATTGTTGCCTAATCGTCACTTTCCAGCCTTGAAAATGTCTAAAAGCCTTTACACGGCCTTATGAGTGATGAATTATTTTCCACCCTACATCCACTTTCCACGCAGACAATATGTCGCAAGCCTATCGCTACTCTATCTCTAATTCAACGTAAAGTTTTCAGACCAGCTCCATTTCTTAGTGCCACGAAGTCATGCCTTTGCAGCCAAGATGCGCCTTGCGACATTCACAGCTTTGAATCACGTTTATTCCCAACGTATTCCATTTGTATGGAGGATGTTCGATCCAGAAAGCTTTTCTCCCAGAACTGCTACTTTGGAAGAGAGTCCTATGTAGCTTCTTCACCAGACACTACAAATTTAACATCTTCAAATATAGGGACAAACGTTTTCTAACCTCCATATATTCATCATTTTCATTTCCTAATTCCTCCTCTTACTTTTATATCACAGGCCTTGTTCAGTAATCCTCTATATTGAATCAACATAATCAGTAAAGAAATGCCAGTTGAGACATTAAGCCTCTGCTACTTAAGGCAACCAGTGAATATTTTTATATGCATGCGCTGGCGTCTCTTGATATATATATATAAACTTTGAATGTCATAATAAAAATTAAATGTAGCTGATTTCTTCCGATTTTATTAATTCAATAATTTATGTGGTGATATTCTTCTGACAAAATGCCGTGTCCGTTCAGAAGGTGGGGGATCATGGTTCTCATTATCGTCACTTTACTATCCTTCCGAATCCCTGTTCTGTCATTAATCCACTTGTTAGGTACATTACTCGATGTATCCATTTGCCGCTATTGGTTCCATTATGTCCTGTAAGTATCAATGTCTCCATGCACACTTTCCTCATTATATACCCGAGAAATTGATGCTGCCTTCTTTCTGACTCTAAGTACGTATCCTTTTCGTTTCCATTTTCCTTAAAACTTGCTTGATGCTCACATGTTCTATCGGTGGAATTCTCAGCATCCTTCTGTAGAATCATCTATGAGGAGATTGTCCAGCATTCACTGGCATAATGTTTTTTTTTTAATCTGTTTCGTATGCAGTGTGAACACAGGGCAGTTGTTTCGAGAGAGTAATGATTGTAAATTGTAAAATAGTGAAAACTAGACGAAGGCAAGGTGGAGTAATGGATAGCGGTTCGCATTGAGGAATCGGAGAGCTGAGTTCGAATTCCAGTTAAATGCTAAAACCCTTGGGAAAGGTATGAATTCTCTTCTTCTCCCTCAACCCAGAGTAAAAGGAAGGCCAGACCGGGTTCTATAACCTTGGATGACAACTGGTCTACCGCAGAAAGAAATGGCAACATACTGCGGGAAAAAATCTGCCTCGTCAGTCATGTATCGAAAGATGAATGATCGCCTAAGCGCGTATCATGCATGGCAAATAACTGACTGATTTCTTGTAGTTCGAATTCCAGACGAATCCATTACATTCACTTACGTACTAATACCCTTGGGAAAGGTATGAATCCTTTTCTTCTTCCCCACCCCCACCCCAACTATGGGTAAATAGCACGAGACCTGGTTCTATAGCCTTTGATGGCAACTGGTCTACCTCAGGAAGAAATGGCAAACTACTGCAGAAGAAAATCTGCCTTGTTAGTCATATATCGAAAGATACATGATCGCTTAAGCGTGTATCACATATGGGACATAACTGACTGACCATTGGGAAAGTTATGAATCCTCTTCTTCTCCCCACCCCCAGCTATGGGTAAATAGCAGGACAGACCGAGTTCTATAGCCTTGGATGGCAACTGGTCTACCGCAGAAAGAAATGGCAACCTACTGCAGGAAAAAAATCTGCCTCGTCAGTCATGTATCGAAAGATACATGATCGCCTAAGCGTGTATCACGCATGGCAAATAACTGACTGAGACGAAGAGCAATTATAACGGGGAAGGTTGTTTTTTTTTTGTTCCAATAATTCTTTGAACGTTTTTTTTTTGTATGAGTTGTGAAGAAAAAAAGTCCAATATTCTTTTAAGACTTTCCAATAATTAAATCAAGTAGCTTTTATGCAAGCTTTAGGAATCCAAAGATAGATTTCCCATTGTAGATCAGCCAATCTATTGATCGATTTCTATTACCCCAGCATCAATCAATTTTTATGGCATTTTCGAATATTAAACTGTCCACATACACAAATCTGTAAACATTTTCATATACCTGTTTGCATGAGAACCGAACCACAATAGCACATACACACACACACACAAACACACACACACAAGCACACGCACACATATATATGTACATATATGTATAACCAGACGCTTCCTCTGTAGCTAAATAGTATAGCACGTCAGGCAATATGAGGCTCCTGATGTGACATCCCGTCTGCAGTCGCTATCTCAAAGACATGCTGTTGCTTACCTCTAATTTTTCCACAAGTACTTTCATGGCAATTGTTCCGACGAGCTGCTTTCACTGGTTCCTAAACTGCATGAATTTAAGCGTGTTACTCGGTTGGCAACTCGGTCCCACCGTTTCCTTGTTGAAACGACTAAATGTAGCTATCTCTTCTACTCCAACAACTTCTTATTCCGCACCTCCAATCAGTGGAACTCCCTTCCTATCACTGGCTTCCCTGGTAGCTATAATCTTCAAATATTCAAATGTAATGTCAATCGACATCTTCTGATACATTGACCTTGATCCCTGTCCTCTTTATCCTTTTCCCAAACACTCCTCTTTACTCTTACTCTCATTCTCTGTAACCCCTTGCAAGCTAGTGGCACTCCCGCCTTGCTTGGGGTGATTTGCTTAATATATATATATATATATATATATATATATATATATATGGGGGAGTGGAAAAAAGACAGAGACATGATTCATTCATTCATTCATTCATTTGATAGTTATGATTTATCAACCATTTGCAGGTTATTTAAAGCCAGAAAATATTTTTAGATCATAAGAATTTGTTTTTGAGTTAATGATAGTTTAGCGATACAAATCATTTACAACCCTACAAGCACTGCAGTAAAACCACCAAGACATAGGGGGTTAATAAGTGTGTGAGAAATAAGAAAAACATTATTAAGGAGCGAGAACAATGAAAGAAGAATCAAGAAGACAGTACATAACGATTGACATTGCGTTTAGATTTTTGAACATCAAAGTTGTCTGGAAAGTAAAAAGTTCCACAAGTAAGAAGTGCAAGAGAAGAAACTATTAGCATAGAACTTACGGTTAAATCTAACCATTTCAATTGTAAAATAATGACACCGTGTCGCCAATCTTAATACTCCGTTTAAATTCATGAAGTCTAGGTACCACAAAAGAAAGTTCACCAGAGCAATTGCCATGAAACTTTTACTAATTAACCCATAGCTGGGGTAAAAAGCTGGGTTCTTACCTTTCCCGTGGGTATTTGCGCGTAAGTGAATATAAAGAAGCTAACGGGAATTGGAACTCGGCTCTCCGATTAAGAATTCGGAGCCGTCATCCATTACACTATCTGCACATCCAAGCTTAATGAACTGGTATTCTCAAGCTGTCACCCATCTACGTACAGAACCGGCTCGACGTTGCTTAACTTCGGTGATCATACAGGAACCGGTGTGTCAACCTGATGCGGCCTTAAATGCAGTGGTAGATGTAATCCACTATATTTTTTTTTTTAAAGTGAGTCGGCTCAAACATGTACTGAAATATAACGTTTAGAGTAAGTGGAAAAATGGGTTAAAAATAAAATTAATTAATTTCTAAGGAAATAAAAATGAATATATATATATATATATATATATATATATATATATATATAATAATTAATTGATTTAAAAATATTTTTTCCGCTACACAGTTCTAACCATGTTTCAAAAATAGAAGCTAAAAACCCTGAATTTAATTTTGCAATTAAATTAAAAGCATTAATTCCATTTCATCTTCAAGTGAATTCGCTTGAAGATGAAATGGAACTAATGCTTTTAATTTAAATTCGGGGTTTTTAGCTTCTATTTTGAAACGTGGTTGAAACTATAGCGAAAAAACATATTTTAAATCAATTAATTTATATTAATGCTCTGTAAATTTACATTGAGCACTATTTTGTAAAAAATAAAAATATCTATAAAACACCGGATTTTATATCTTACTGTTCTTTCTTTATTATATATATATATATATATATATATATATATATATATATATATATATATATATATGTATATGTATATTATAAAGTGCTCTTGTGGCTAGGCAATCCACTCAGGTTATTAGTGACGGAACCGGTTCCGCCATCGGGCTTTTTGTGGCGAGGCGGATGGCTAGACACACAACAGGATTAAAACACGATCTATTAAAGGGCAGATGGATCCTTTCACACAGAACTTTTATTGGCCTTCGACCAGGTTTAGCCAGCTCCGTGGAAATTGAATCGACCATAAAAACTCAACATAAATATAATAAAATAATATGATCAATATCAAACTCCGCTACTCAAAGTTTCATGTAGCAGAAATCAACAGTCCCTCAGGATAATTCTAGCTACATGAAACTCTGAATAGTAATATTTTCGTATTGATATTATATGTATACAGACACAGACACAGACACACACACACACACACACACATATATATATATATATATATATATATATATATATATATATCTTACTTATTATAAAACATAGATTTGTGTGTGTGTGTCTGTACTTTATATATTGGATCGGTTTCCTACATTTTTCAACCGATTTCAACAAAACTTCACAGGACTACGTAAAATGACCTTGCGGTGGTTCTATCAGCGCCAAAAATTGGAAAAACACAATTGTTTTTGCACGAAATCAATTTGAAAACACGATTAAGAGGCATAACGAGAATGAAAGGAGGGACAACTCATATCGAGTTATACTTATTATAAAACCCAGGTTGTTTGTGTGTGTGTTCGTTTATATATGGGATTGGATTTCCTACATTTTTCAACCAATTTCAACAAAACTTCACTTTTTTTTCTTTTTTTTTTTGGCAGGTAGTGTTTCTTATTGTCTTGCACACTTTTTTTCTTTATTTTTACATTCAGAATGCTTTAAAAATTCCATTTACAAGACAATTGTTTATAATAAAATTCTATTCAATCAGTAGACTCATCATAACGATTGAAAACAATGTTTTTGTTTGGGTTTGACAAATTCGTATAAAGAAAAAGAAAAAAACTAATTAAGACATGCGTGTCCGTCAATCTTAAACAATAATCTTTGTTAATTTTATTTTTAGTCTTTATGATGGTCGATAAAATCTATCTTAAATTAACATCCCCGGGCAAAAGCCGGGCTCTACTACTAGTATATATATATATATATAGTGATTTTCTAAGCCAGCTTAGATGTGGCACAAAGCCGAAAGTGAGTTCGATCCTCACTGGAAAAAATACTTTCGGCCTTGTGCCACATTTGCACTGACACTATATATAAAGGGTCATTCAATAAATAAGGTGAATTTTTTCGGTATAAGGACTTCTAATACAGATAGAAGCTTACTTTTTTTTTTCAACGTAGTCTCCCAGCACTGTCACATACTTTTCCCATCTGTGCACAAGTTTCCGTATTTCCCCAGCTTAAAAATCTTTGGACGGATGTCTCAGCCAATCGCTCACAACACTTTTGACTTCATCGTCACTTTTAAACTTCGTGCCTCTCGTGAACGCTTTCAAGGGACTAAACAGGTGAAAGTCTGAAGGGGCAAGGTCTGGGCTGTAAGGGGGATGAGGGAGCAGTTCCCAGCCCAGCTCGTTGATGGTCTGCACCGTTCGGGCTGCTGTGTGTGGACTTGCGTTGTCACGATGCAAGATAACTCCTTCTGACTGATTCAATCATCCCAGGAGACCTCACTTCTGTAGGCCTCCCAGGCCTGTCTTCATCCTCAACACTGCTCTGTTCTTCTTTAAACAATTTAGCCCCTTATAGACATTTTTTGGCTGAAACATGTGGCAACATACAGTTTGACATTCTCCGATGAATTTCAACTGGTTTGCAACCTTCAGCAACCAAAAACTTGATAACTGACCGCTGTTCAATCCTGGAGCATGCTTCTTCGTCGGCCATCTTTGTTAATCGCCAAAACTCTCAAAGTTTTTTTTTAAATCTACAAAAGAAATTAAATCCAAGTGAAAAAGAAGTAAAACAAAATAAAAAAAGTAAGCTTCTATGTGTATTAGAAGTCCTCTACCGAAAAATTCACCTTATTTATTGAATAACCCTCGTATATATATATATATATATATATATATATATATTATGAGATTGAGCTCAACACCCAGAGGCAACAGTCCATTTTATGCTAAAAGCAATCGTCATGCCATATTTGTCGACTTTTTATATATGCAAGTCGGTTATGCATTATTCTGACTGTTATTTTGGTGGGCCTGGTTTGTTAATTTGTGTATTATTTACTTATTTAATATTCAGTAAAAACTATATATATATATATATATATATATATATGAATTGGTCAGTATAAGTAGTACCTTACAACGTAACAAATACCCTGGGTACATGATAGGAGACCCAAAAACTGGGATAGGCGGGTACAAGAAGAGGACAACAGCACTCAGAAAACAGTCTGCCTGCCTTATGTGAAGGGGTTATCAGAGAAAATACAAAGGATCTGCGGTCCATATAACATCAGGACAACCTTCAAAAGCTTGACGAATCTTCGCAGATATCTCTCCCAAGTAAGACCCCCCCCCCATAGAGGAGAAAATGACTAAAGACTGTGTGTACGCTATCCCATGCAGCTGCGGAAAGAAATATAAAGGGGAGACAGGCCGCCCCCTTAAGGTAAGGCTTCAAGAACACCAGAAAGCTGTAACACGAGGGAAAGTAGAAAAATTAGGCGTGGCTGACCACATATGGAGAGAGAAGTGTGATCACCGCCTTCTGTGGGATCAGGTTGAGATCATAGACAGGGAACACCATTGGAAAATTCGTAAACTTAAGGATTCAGCACATATGCTAGACCACAAAAATCTGAGCCGACCAAGCATAAAAATGAATACAATATGGGAACCAGTAATAAGGAGTACCAGAGAAAGCGGTAATAATAACAAAAATTGTAATACAATGATAACAGCAAAAATTGCAATATGAGCACTGGTTAAAAATATGATGGTAAAGACATTAGGTTTATAAAACCCAGAAAATCATATACAGCTGTCCTCAAGGACACATGACACAGTGGAAAAGGCGTTAGTTAGATCCAGTGACAGGACCCAAAGAAAGTGAGTTCAATACCTGGCTAAGGCAGTGGAGAATTTTCAGAGGGAAATTAACAGGATAACTGATAACTGATATCTATTAGACATGGCACGTGGAACTAGAACAGTCTACCCCAGTGATCGAAATAAAGGTTTCAGTTCCACATTCCAACCACCTGAAGAAGGCAGGGAAGCGTACAAGGGCCGACCGTTGCAATTTTATTATATTTCAGGATATTACACCGAAAGCATGGCAAAATCGCTACACAATTGCAGGTGAAGTGCCGAATACAGAGAATACAGAAGTGCCACAAGGTCCCCAAACGACGCAAGTTTTGAATTCAGAGTTGTCCTTCTCCTAGACCAGTTGCCATCCAAGGCTATAGAACCCAGTCTGTCCTGCTATTTACACATATCTTTATCAAAGCAAAATACGAAATTAATTTACCAGTTTTTTATTGTGATTTTTATTCATATATATATATATATATATATATATATATATATATATATATATTAAAGTACATGCACACATTCGCTAAAAAAATGAGCATACATGATGAAAAGATCCTCAAACCTCTGTAAAGATGCAGGTTCGAACCTTACCGGAGAGTATATTTTTCCTTCAGTGCGCAAGCTGATAAGCGTAACACACACTATTCTAAAATAAAATAAAAAAAAAGCAGAGCGTCTATTTCAAACGCGGGTATCCACTAAAAATAATGTTTGAAGTGATAAGAATGTCGGATTAAAAATAAAATCCATTAATTCTTTAGAGTATGTTAGATAGATAGATAGATAGATAGAGATAGATAGATAGATAGATAGATAGATAGATCTAAGCAGAGATAGATAGATAGATAGATAGATAGATAGATAGATAGATAGATAGATCTAAGCAGAGATAGATAGATAGATAGATAGATAGACACAAGCAGAGATAGATAGATAGATAGATAGATAGATACGATACGATATGAACTGTGCGAGATAGATAGATAGATAGATAGATAGATAGATAGATACGATACGATACGATACGATATGAACTGTGTGAGATAGATAGATAGATAGATAGATAGAGAGAGAGAGAGAGAGAGATAGATAGATACGATACGATATGAACTGTGTGAGATATAGATAGATACGATACGATACGATATGAACTGTGTGAGATAGATAGATAGATAGATAGATAGATAGATAGATAGATAGATAGATAGATGTAGAAATGAGATAAAGAGATATGATCAACCATATATGTGAGCCATTACGGACACATATAGGTGAGTAAATAACTAATTATTTAATCCATAGTGTAGACAAATCAGTGGCCAATGTAGTTAAACAGCGCTATAAATTATATATTCATAATTACACA